AGGTAGTGAAGGCATCTACGAAGAAGCTGTGACTAAATTAAAATTTTTTTTTTTTTTGAAAAATGAAATGCATGTTTTATTTTTTCTTTTTTTTTTGAACTAACTTATTAAATCATTACAGCAAACAGTGATTAATTTTTTTATATTCCAGTAATATTGTACTAAGCACTGTGTGGATTGTAAACATTAATTCAACACGATGGTGTAAACGTTAGTTTCAATGAAAAGCCTTAACAATTCTATATTTATTAGAAATTGCAAAAAAAAATTTCTAGTAAGACAAAATTAAACATTTGGTTAGATTAATTAAATTAATTAAGAAAATAATAAATTAAAATTAAAAACTTATTGTATATTAAAAGATTATAAAGTCAGTATGGACTTATTGTATTGTCGATAAGTCCATATATATATATATTGATATAAGTTCAGCACTATATTTCGAAGTATAGACAATGTTAAAGTGTGATCAAATTACAAATACACGATTTGATATAATAAATTAAACTAATATAGAATATTAATATAGAAGCCTTCAATATTTTATATGTGTGTAGGCGATAAAGAAACGTGAAGTGAAGTGAATAATCCCTGCGACTTCTTTAGTAAGGAGTTAGAATAATAACAAAGTTCAATACCCTATTTTATCATTCCATATGTAGAAATGAGATAGGAATATGACATATCTCTTTCTATTTTGTTTGCCTCAACGATAACAAAAGTAAACTTTATTTATATTGGATATTGTTATTTTGAAATCTTTAAACCGACTGTTTTTATTTTCTTAGTACCTATATGAATATTTTATTTAAATACTATATACATAACAATTATGTAGATAAACTATCACTCAGTAAGTCTGGAGAAAAACTACTACAGGTAAGCCAAAAACGACTCAATTCATATACTGGAATTATCTTTGTTACATGGGATCAAGCCTGATGAATACTTTGAATGAGGAAGAAATTCGAAGAAAATATTCTATCTCGATTTTTTTCTTTAAACTCGAAAACCTGAGCTATTATTTAAAGCTGATGGTGTGTGCTTACCTTAGCTTTTGAAAATGTGTTTTGTATGATACGTTTTGGTATCATACAAAATATATATATATTATATATATATATATATATATATATATATATATTTTTAATATTTATATAATGCAGGTATACTTGTAGATGCTATGTATACAAAATTTATTCAATACTTACCAACTGAAAATATGAAAAGTGTTTCTCTTTCAACGGCTTAGTTGTATTTTTCCCAAGTGTGCTAAAATACAAAAAATTAATTTTGTACCAAATTATATAATTAACTAAATTAAAATAAATTTCTAATTGGTTATAAAACCAATTAAATAAAGAAGTTTAATACAATTACTTATAAGAGTAAAATTTTTGAGGTGACAATTGTGTTGTAAAAATAGGAGACTACATTATATGTTATTTGTTCATAAAATAATGATTTCAATATTTATACATTCAACAAAATCTTTTTTGTCCTTGGGGGGATTCCCCAAGGATATAATATACATGTGGTAGCACTTTTTCCAATTTTCGAAGCACACTCTCATATGGGCTTTTTGGCATGACCATTAACACTTCCAACGATACGATCTTTAATTGCTTATTTTTAGCAACTCTACGTCCTTTTAAAAATATTTTGTGTATTAGGAAGAGAAAATACAAGTCATGTGTTGAAACATAATTTTTTAATTTATCTCTATTTTGACAAATTAATATTTGAATTCGTGAATTTGAATACAAAAAAGGATTCTAGGCAGAGTTATGGTATATCCAGAAAAGACTGTGCTATAACTGAAGGGTGTCAGTTTTTTGCAAGTTCACGATTAAAATCATATTTATGTAAAGCCATTAATCTACTCGACAAGGGTCGAATTACACTGGAGAATACAGGTTCCTTAGAGTTATTCTCTCCAGATTCATTCTGTTTTGTTAGACTTATGACTGAACGTAATGAATACTCACATTTCGAAAATGATATACTATTCTAGTACGTATCATGATCCTAATGTCACAAAGACTGTGGTATATTAGTAATATTACTGTGATAAAAAATGAGGCTCACTTTTTAATTTAAAATACTCTGGATGCCCATTTAATTTAATGAATTAGGTCCAAAAGAAATATTAATATTTTAAAAGTTATAAATTATTTAGCATTATTTTTAGATTGCAGTGTTATATTACGCTTAACCATAATCATTTTGTTAAGAATTCGATCCCACAGTATGCTGTAATAGCATATATATTATATATAAATTATTTTTTACTAACCTTTCATTTAGTTCTGCAGAATTATTTTTATAAGGCATAATATTGAATTTCTTTTTTAAATTTTGGCACATTATTTCCATAGGCGCCGTTGGTATATTACATTTGGGTCGGATGATGACCTCGTTGATAGATATTTAAGGTTTATATTTTTTTATATTTATGATACTTGATATTTTTTAAATCTTATTAAATTACAAATTATTAGTGTATAAAATCTATTAAAAAATTTGTTTATATATATCGATTGCGTTTTTTAGAGCTCCACTTTCACAAAACATAAAATATCTCTCACATCAATGTTATCCTTTTTATTTTTAAATAAATTTGTTAATAAATCAGTAATTATTTAACAACAAAAATTATTTAAATTACACTTATTTTTTCCTTCAATATATTGACACTTTCAGTTTTTGATTTAAGTATAGGGATGTCTATCTTGTGGATCCGAAATTGAACGTAAATCAACAAAATTTTACTTTATTTACCATATTGTTTAGAGATTGTTAGTAGATGTGAAATACAATATCATTCAAATTTCTTCTTTGTGACAACTTCTAGTACTAGACACATTTGAAGTGTCTAGACACATTCTTTTTTGATGACCTATCTAGACATAGCAGGCAATAGCTTGAGCCAAATTTGATTAATGGATATCCATGTTTGAAGCGTTCGAGACTATAAGGATAATCCACATAAGAACGATTCTTTTCATAAATTGACAAAGCAAAATCCAGTAGTGACAAATCATGTCACCTTACTGTCCAATTTATATAATTAAATCGTGAAATGTATATTCTGTATGTATATTATACGCGCAACAGAGTCAAAACAGAACGTCTTGTTTACATGATGAAATCGTCCTGTAGTAACCTGTTGAAACATGTTGAAACCTGTACTGTTGAAATATTTCATAACCTTATCTTCAATTTCACCAATTTCAAAAACAAAAAAAGAAATGGCTACACAAAATATCAACTATGGTCGCAGTGCTCCGCTCCGTTAGGAGCCGGTACTCTGTTTATTTCTTATTTAAATGTTGATAGTTACTTTAAATGCGACACTTTTGTTTATGAATATATTTTTAAAATTTTAAAACGTTCAGCTGTTGTTAATCGATCCTTATTGCAAAATAATAACACAAGACTTAAGCTAAAGACATTGACACTTTTATTAGGAACACAATGCTATCCAATCACGACCCTTATTAGATAATAGATAACCCTTTATATTTTTTTAACAGATCTAGTGCATTTCTAATTATGTTACTATATGTATGTTGAAAAATTAATTTATTTTCCTTATAATATTTTCAATATTAGATCACTTAATTTTTATTTCAATTAATTTTGCTTATTCTTATATTTTTATTTTAAGATATTATAAATTTGAACAAATTCAAGTGAAATTGTTAACTTCCTTATATACCAAAAATAGTACAGCTTTCAACTAAAAAGTTATTATGGAATTTTATATTTATTCTATCACTTTTCATTTAAACAAAAATTAATTAATTAGTTTTCAAAATGTTTTAATCAAAATTAAAGGATATTTTTTAAAATTAATTTGTCACTAAAATTGTTTTAACCGTACTAAAAATTTTCTTTCAGATTTTCTAACACTCTATCGGAGATTATCTGATTCGAATGAATTTTTAATCTATTTATACCTTTTCTATTATGAAAAATTGTTAGAAATATATTAATATTAATTACTATTATATATAAAATTATTTTATAATGCGAATAATTGAATTTATGCGAATAAATAATTAGAACAGTTTTGGTGGGAAAACTGTTATAATAAAACAATTTGAATTTATTTTTATTATTGTATGAGGATTTGAAGATTTCTATACAAATATTTGTTTTCATAATACAGAGAAAAATTTAAATATAGTATTCCCATTGTTACTTACTACATATAATAAGATATATGGAATTGTACTACAGGAACTGAAAATAGTTATGAACTATATTATTCATAAATTTCATTCACAGATTAATATTATTATTAAATAAAAAATGTTCAATTATAAAGCTATAATAACAGCATATTATAGTTTTATTTTATGTAAAGTAATTTAAAATTGAATAAAATGAAATATACTTTATATAAAAATAGTAAAATAGAAAACATATAATAAAAATAGTACAGTTAAAATAGACAAAAGTCTAAATAGATAATCAAAAATAGAAAAATATATATATATAAAATTCATTACATTTAATATCAATTGTTCTGAACTATTCTAGGGAGATATAAGCTTGAATAATATTCCTTATATATGCCATTAAACAGTAATACTTCATTGTTAAGTTTTCATTAAGAGAAATGCAATAGACTGGAAAAAAACATGCTTATTACTAGTATTCTCTGTATAATTTAAATTAAAAATAACTACAGATACTATATTTTCTTTTTAAATGTTTAGTAAATGAAAACCTACTGTAAAAATGGTGGCGATTCTGCAGTGCGAAGTTCTTTTAATGATCAGACTCATTCCTTACTTGGTGGCTACGTCAAAGGTCAAATTTGTTGTATTTGGGATTGAAGGGAATATATATATTGTGCCACATATAGTATTAATACTATATTAATTTATATATTTCAAAAATCAAAACATTAATATACTCGTATGCTGTGCTTTTAATATTTAATGTTCATCGAAATTAATAATTTGATATACAACACAAATACATATATAAAATAAATCTATATAACGAATATTTACAATAAACAACAAATAATTTTTAAAATATTAACTATATTAGTGACAATGCTTTTGAGAATTAATACAGCATGCCTTGTCCACGGTAGAATTCATCACTGCGCACCAAAGCTTCATAGTGAGTAACTCGAACCTCTCTCCCGCCATACGGTATATACAAGCATCTGTGAGAACACTGTATTCTACCTGGTGTAAGACTGCCACAATAGTGAGCTCTACCAACATATAAAGGTTCTCCATTCATAGTACGACCTGCTTCCACTGCACCGGGCGGTACATTGCCATCACCAGATGATACCCAATGATATCTATCGCCCACTAATATTTCATAATTTGATTTGGTAATCTCTTGTCCAGCGTGTGATATATAAGCACAACCACGATTTGGTACACCTTTTCCGGGTAGCATTTCACCACAATGGAATGCACGACAAACTAATAATGTTGATAAATCTGTATCATGACCAGCGTGCACTGCATTGGGAGGTGTATAATTGTAACTAGCTGCAACCCAGAGATCATGAGTTCTAATTGGTGTTGGCGGTGCAACTTGTGCAGGCGTAAAAGTTGGTGGTGGCACATATGAATTTGGTGGTGCAACTTCTGCTGGTGTATAACCAGGTTTTGGTGGTAAGTATGGATCATAAGGTGTGGCTGGTTTAAATTCTGCTGTTGTATAGCCGGGTTTTGATGGTAAATATGGATCATATGATGTAGCTCCTGCAACATTCGCTGGTGTGAAAACAGGTGTTGGTGGTGGTGGTGGTAGTACAGATGGTGCAATAGGTGCATATGGTGGTGGTGGGTCATATGCTGGCACTGGAACAAATGGTACTGATGGCTTTGATTCTAACATGGGTGGATACGGATATGGTTTACTTTCTAATAGTTCAATAAGTGGTGGATTTGCTTTTTCAATTATTGGTTCTGGTGGTGGTGGTGTAGGTAGTGACCAACCTATAGATTTTGTTTCTTCAACTAATATTTCATATGAATTAAGACGTCTTTCTGCTCCACCAAATGGTATGAACAATGCACGATGTACAGAAGAGATCTTACCAACTGTGAGACTGCCTTCATACCAACCGCGTCCAACATAAATCGGTTGTTCTAATGAAGTTTTACCACAAAGCACTGCATTTTCTGGTATCACATGGTCATAACAATGACGCCATGCAAGATTAGTGCCGCATAATATTTCAAAATGATCTTTTGGTACTTCTTCACCTCTCCATGAGACAAATGCTATATGCTTTGATGGCATAACTTTAGCCACTAACATGTCTCCATTGTGAAAAGAGCGACCCACGTAAATAATTGCACCATCAGTGTCGTTGCCACCAGGAACAGCATCCTGAGGAATGCTTGAATATGCAGATGAATGCACCCATTTGTATTCTAAATTAAATAAAAATATTTATTATTGTTGCCTATAATTTATTAAAGTTATTTCTGTTAATAAGTAAGTTTAATTAGTAAATTAGTAATGATTAAGTTGATTAGTAAAAAAATTTTATTTATTTTAAAAAATTTATTTTTATTAATTTCATTATATTTTGATCATTTTGGGTATTAAAGAAAATCTTCATTACATACATTTGCGTTTATTAAAAGTAATATTAATTTATTGTTTGCATAAGTATTCATAAGAATCTACACGAATTTCGCGTCCTCCATAAGGTATGTATAGGCAACGTTGGCTTACAGACACAACTCCAGGTGTAATGCTGCCGTGATGATGACCACGTCCAACATACAATGGTTCACCGCTACGAGAGCGACCAGTGGATACGGCATTAGGTGGAATTGAGTGACCATATGATTTTACCCATGTATAGCCATAACCACAGAGAACCTCAAAGTGTTGTTTATTTACTTCGTATCCACGATAACAAATGTATGCACATCCTTTACTGGGAATAATTTTAGCTGGTAGCATCTCACCTTCATGCATTGCCCGACCAACATAGATAGTGGCACGATCTGTATCATGTCCAGCAATTACAGCACCTGGTGGTGTGTAGTTTGGTGTAGAAGCTACCCAATTTTCACGACTCTGCTGTACCAACACTTCATAAGTACTCAAGCGAACTTCTTGACCACCAAATGGTATATATAAACAACCATGAGATGGATGAATTTTGCCGACAGTCAAGCTGTTGGCGTGATGTCCTCTGCCAACATAAAGTGGTTCTCCAGTACTTGTGTTACCTGTACGTACAGCGTTTTGAGGTACACTACCACCAAAACAGGGCACCCAACCGTAACCCTCACCAACAAGTATCTCATAATGGGATTTTGTGATTTCTCTACCGCCCCAGGCTACATATGCAGTACCTTTGCTTGGTATAACTTTAGCTGGTAAATTATCACCTTCATGATAGGAGCGACCAACATAAATTGGGGACCCATCGCAATCATGTCCACCAATAACAGCAAACGGTGGCAATTGTGCATAAGGTGAAGAGTGTACCCAAGTATTGGCTGCAAATAGAGTGAAAAGAAAATATTATATATAAATTTGTATGGATTATATGCGAAATTATTTTATATATATATGTATGTATATAGGTAAGTAACTAAAGGTAACATACACAAAGTATTTTAGTAAAATTAAATGATTGCGAAATAAATTACAGTAGAATTTGAAATGGCATGACCTTATCGTTCTTATCAGAAAAATGCCGATAATTCCATAATATTATTTATCACACACAAACAGGTTTTTAAAACAATAAATTAACTTTTGTTTTATGGGTGTTAGAAAAATGATGGGCAACGCCACATAATGAGTGTTTTGATAATTTTTATGGACATATTTGATAAGATACATATTATATTTTTGACAAAAACAAGTTGATATTTGTGCATTTTGTGCACATCTATTTTATTTCTAATACATTCCATAACCTAAAAATAAATAATTGCTTAGAATGTCTAATCATTTCACCAGAAAAAATATATAAGAATCAAATAAAAATGATGAAAGATAGGTGCAATT